GGTCAGTTAGTAAAGTACTTAGAAAGTCAGTACATTTTTTGAATACTCAGGTATTAAAATAATTAGGTTTGTTGGTATATTGGAAAAACAGAAAATTAAATTAAATGGTCAGTAGAAAATTCAAATTTTATCAGCAGAAGAAATAAGTTTTATTCGCATAATTATCAATTTGCTGCAGGAAAGATTACTTTAAGAAAATAAAAAAAAACACAGAATATATAAGTAAAAATCCATAGAATGAATGAAAAAAATTAAAAAAAAAATTCGATTACTGTACTAAAAGAGAAAGTTTTTAGTCTTTCTTAGTCAACCTCTTTTTCCTTTCTTATCAGTCAGCACTGTTTTTGTTGCTGCTGGTGATTTGAAATGTTTCAAATGAATAGCCATATCCAATAACGTGTTTTCATATACAGTTCTTAAAAAAACGTGGACAGTTGCATTTTGATTTTTTTCCAATCAGAATCAATCTCCCGTTTCATGCATCAAATATCAAATGAGGTTTTGAATTGATTAAAAGTTGTTCACTTCTTATTTTTATATTTATAAAATCAGTTTCTGTAATCGATTGTAAATCATGAACTGATATAATAATATATATTTTTGAAAAATCATAGAAAATACAAATTCTATCTTCTGTTGATTTAGCTCATTCATTCTATAAAGTTCACATTTGTGAGGACATTGTTAGTTGTGTAATAAATATTTTTGGGTTGATTGAAGAAGAATCACATTCAATTCACCAATTATTGACAATAGTTGAAATTATTGCCAAAAATCTTAACAAAGCATGACGTTATTTTAAACGTTTGATCATATTTGACTGTTTTATTGGTTGCTTCTCAGGTATTGTTTTTTCTTGTATTGATTTCTTTTTTTGCTCGCTGTTCCTGGCCTATTTCTGCATAAATAATGTTGAGATGCTGACTTGAATACAGCTATGGATTTGGATAAATGAAGCATTTTAATAAATTTCGATTGTTCTACTGACCATTTAATTTAATTTTCTGTTTTTCCAATATACCAACAAACCTAATTATTTTAATACCTGAGTATTCAAAAAATGTACTGACTTTCTAAGTACTTTACTAACTGACCTTTGCATTTATTTTACTAGGCCCTCCAAACAGTGTTCGATGTCTGTAAAAACAAGTTCACAGCGCCAGAGTTGGGTTTAATGGAAGTACTACCGAACAATGAAGGGCGCCCGTTTATATGGCATATGACAGAGAATCCTTCGAAACTATATTGGCGATGAGAAGCCAAAAACAGAAAAAAATTGATTTGAACATCTGGAAAGTAGAAGAATCCTTTAAGTGAATAAGATAATTTTAATTTCACACTTGACATTAGGTGATTTTTACACGCTGCATTTGGACACTTAACAAAGTGATTGATATGGTTTTTGAATATTTATAAAAGCAAATATTATTCGCTTCAAACTTTAGGTCGAAGATTTCATTGTTCAATTTTGAATGATTCTGAGTATCTACTACAATTGAATTCATTAATAAAATGAAGATAAAATGTGTCATTGTTGTCGAAACTGTGTTGTTTTTTGTCCGGAACACATTTCAGAATACTTTGACAAGAAACCGTTTACAACGTAATAATAGATTATTAAACTAAAGTTCTGTGAAAAGTATGTTTTATCCATAATTTTTTGATATTTTATTATTAACACTTAAAAAAAATCAACGGAAAAAAATAACAAAACAATCTTCTACTTCATCATCATATCACAGTAATACTAAAATAACTTACATTTACTGCCTTTTTACAGCTGTTATTTAACTCTTCTGCTGCAAATAAAGGTTTTTCCGAGTGGTAAAATAATGGCTATCACCTTCAAAACGTCGAACTTCTGCTATGTGTTCTGGTATGGATGTATACATATCGTATGGTGCTGGATCACTTTTATCATTTTGACGTGAACTTGGAAAAAAATAAAATGAGAGCACAATTACCATAGCTGATTGATCATAACGATGCTTTTCTGTGAAACCGATTATACGTTTACACTGAGTTTTCGATTTTGATGGTGCTATACAATTTGAATTAAGTGCACATGTTACCCATGTTTTAAGTATAAGACGTGATAGAAAATTATCTGTTACAGCAACAAAACCTGCTTCAGCAATATAAATATCATCATATGATGAAAATGTTTCATTAAACCATGAAAATGTTCCACTTAAAGTAAAACATGGTAAATAATGTCCAGGTAATTCACGACATGAAAAACCTCGGATTAAATTATCAATAAGTAGACGATCAAAATTTGATGTTTTATAACGAACTGATGTATCACCATAAATAATAGAACCAAAACGTCTTACAGCATCCTAGAAATATGAATGTTTATATTTGGTTTTTATTAGAAATAATTATTCAACCTGAATTACGATTGGCTTCCAAGCGAAATTTCCTAAAGATCGAATGTGAGCAGCAACAGGTTCAATTTGAGCAAATGGAAATGGAATAATAATACATCGGGCACAGTTTTCTTTGATCTGGAATGAATTCGAAACTCTATAGGTTATATTTCTGTTAGAATAAATCTTGTTTTTTACACAACCAGTGATCGAAAAGTTACTTGAGAAAATTTTTAATTTATATCTCATCTGTTCTAGTATTAGTATGTGTCTGATTTTGTTACACAAAATATACGAGCTATGGATAAAAGTGTAAGTGAATCGACTGAGTCGATGCCGCCCCAACACAATAATAGATAGCTAATTTTTAATAATTTCCGACGTACTAAATCAATCTATAGAGATATTACCGTCTTGTTTTTGTGAATAAATTTTTTACGATCGTTTTTTCTTTTTTTCATGCGAAGATTGTTGCTTATTTAACTGGCATCCCACCAACACTTTGCAAAAAAAGAGGAAAAAAGAGGCTCAGCGTTCTTTGAAAAAAGAGGATTTTTAATAAAAAAAGAGGAGAAAAAGAGGCATACAGTTTCGTTCGAAGAAAACTAAAACTCACTGGCACAATAGTACTATAAATCCAACAAAGCTCGTTCGTTATCAATATAGGTTGAATATGACTTGAAAGAGTAAAAAAGAAACGAAACTTCCAATTGTTCATAGAGATTTTTGTGCAATTGCTTATATATGCATTAGAAAACGGGAAAACATTAGAAAAATAGACTATTCTATTTGCGTAGTATCTGACTATAATATTACTCTATCTGACTAAGTAGGCACATAGAAATAGAAACGATCAGAATTCATTAAATGTTTCTTTCTCTGCTTTTTGCTCCTTCTTTCGGATGACTGTGCATGTGAGAAAGGAATTTTTTCGTTTTTTTTCAATTTTCAGCAATTCTTTCATAATTTTGATCATTTTTCGCAAGTCAGTTTCACTTTTCCGTTTCCTAGCGTAAATTAATACATTGGTTGCAATGATGCCCAGACAGTGGGTTTG